CAGGAGAGATATATTCAAGATCATATTTTGGCTCTTATGGAGTTGTTTTAATTGTCTTTAACTTCAAATTGAACTTGCATATGAGCACTTGATGGTCTGTTCCACAATCAGCTCCTGGCCTGGTTTTGGCTGAAGATATTGAGCTTTTCCACTGCCTCTTGCCACAGATGTAGTCAGTCTGATTGCTGTGTATTCCATCTGGTGAAGAAGTCCATGTGTATAGCCACCATTTGTGTTGTTGAAAGAAGGTATCTGTAGTGAGTAAGTCACTGGTGTTGCAAAATTTTGTTATGCAATTTCCAGCATCATTTCTGTCACCAAGGCCAAATTTTCCAACTACCGTGATTCTTCTTTGTTTTCAGCCTTTGCATTCCAGTCCCCAGTGATAATTAACACATTCTGATTACATGTTCGGTCAATTTGAAACTGCAGAAGCTGATAAAATTCTTAAATTTCCTCATCTTTGGCTTTGGTAGTTGGTGTGTAAATTTGAATAATAGTCGTATTAACTGGTCTTCCTTGTAGGCACATGGATATTATCCTATCACTGACAGCATTGTACTTCAGGACAGATCTTGAAACATCTGCTTCAAATTGTCATTCCTGGTATAGTAGAACACATGGTTGCCTGATTCAGAATGGCTAAAACCAGCCCATTTCAGCTCACTAATGCCTACAATATCAATCTTTATACATTCCATATCATTTTTGACAGCTTCCAATTTTCTTAGATTCATACTTCGTGCATTGCATGTTCCAATTATTAATGGATGTCTGCAGCTGTTTCTCTTCAATTTGAGTCATGCTTCATCAGTAAATGGAGATCTTGAGAGCTTTACCTTAATCTATATCAGGCTGGTTCTACTCTGATGATGTAGCTCTTTTCTCTATTTTTTCTATTTTGAAAGCCTTCCAACCTAAGTGGCTTATCCTCCTGCACTGTATCGAACAGAGTTTCCAGGCTATTCATAAAGTTGCACAGTAATGTATCAGACCTCTGCTATTCATAAGGTTTTCCTTGGCCAATTCTCTGAGAAGTGGCTGGCCTCCTCCTTCTTCCTAGTCTGACTCAGTCTGTAAGCTGTTGAAACCTGTGCACCATGTGCAGCCCTGCTGGGTGTGAGACACCAGTGGCACAGCTGCAAGCCTCACAGCAACACGCCACCACAGTAGGACAAACTGACAGACAAGTTTGTCTCCCTTAGTTGTTCAAAACCTCTCCACCCTCCTACCCCACCCTCCCCTTACATGGATTCCTGCCACTTGGGGGCAGGGTCTGGATCCCTTGCCTTACCTGGATCCCTGCTGCTACTTCCTCACTCTGTCCTGGCCCCCCGCCCCCTTCCTGCAGGGGCTCCCCCCCCCCCGTTTTTATTCTGCTTTCTCACCGCTTGGGAGGGGCGTGGCCTGGGTCCCTGGCCTTACCTGAATCTCTGCCGCTGCTTCCTTGCCCTGGTACGTTAGGTAGGTGGTGATAAATATTTCTTTTTCCTTTTTTCTTCTGGTCCCTTCTTGTCCGTATTTAATGTGTAGGTCTTTCCTATTTTGGCAAAAAAAAATTTTCCCTTAAATTTACTACCTTATGCAGATATTGTCATATGTACATACTAAACTCTTAGATAGGAGATTTGGATATACTTATAATTAACTGTTATTGGAGAAGATTAATATTAAGCCTGAGTTTTGTAGGAAGACTAGGTTGTGAGATATGTGTGTGTGTGTGTGTTAGCATAAAGCTGAAAGCTTTGATTTTCTTTCATAGCTTCCCTTGGAGTGTTCTTGTTGTGGATGAAGCACACAGGTTGAAAAATCAAAGCTCCCTGCTGCATAAAACACTGTCAGAGGTAAACTCACAAGAAGAGTCTCAGTTTTTATATCACGCTGTTTAAATAAAATACTAGTTTAGGCCCATGTAGAGTCAATTCAGGAGTCAATTAAACAGATTGAAACTTTTTTCTTGGTCAGATTTCTGTAAAACTAAGTGAAAATTTTGTGGGTGACAGAAGTAGTATTTATTTAATATGATTTAGTTCTCGTTGTCCTTTTGTCTTTTATACAGGAAATAAAGTTTACTAAAATCTGGTAATCAAATGAATAAGATTGTACCCAATAAAATATGTTAACACTTTGTCCTGCCATATCCTTTGCTGTATATATATACATCCAAACACATAACTATATATTGTTATTGTTGATATGTGCTGTTGAGTCAGACCCAACTCAGCGACCCCTCCTTGGGTTTCTGAGGCGGTATCACTATGGAAGTAGATTGCCCAACCTTCCTTCCGAGGAGTGGCTGGTGGGTTTGAACCGCCAGCCTTCTGGTTAGTAGTCAAGTGCCTTAGGTACTACGCTACCAGAGCTCCTAACTATATATTACTGTATTTTAAAAAATGAAACTATGTACCGTTTTAAATATCAAAATATATTAATTACGTGTGTATGTAGGCATTCTTAGGTGGTACACATAGTTAAGGACTCAACTGAATGGTTGGTTGTTTGGACCTACCCAGAGGTGCCTTGGAAGACAGGCCTGGTAATGTGCTTCCAAAAGGTCACAGCCTTGAAACCCCTATGGAATAGTTCTGCTGTGCACACGTGGGGTCACCATGAGTCAGGATCAACTTGAATGCAACTCATAACATGTTTATGTATGTATGGTACATGTGTGTGTATTTAAAATATTTTGTATTTTGATATTTAAAATAACATGTACATAGGATATGGCTTTTCCATTTTGCTGTATTAAACTCTAAATTTTTAAAAATTGTTTTCCATTTTAAGCTGTATATGTCCCTATGTCTGGAAACATCCAGATGTCATTAATGTCATGCATCTGGTGTGCTGTGAAATTTTACAAAAGGACATTCTTTTAATATAGATCTTGCTTGTAGGGTTGAGGTCTGGTCCTATAGCTTTGGACTTCTGAAACTTGGCACATGCAGTGTGTGTCTGATGGATCAGTAGATACCCCTACATAGCTGAATCACCATGTAGTTGAATAACAGTAACCAAAAAACAGATGCATTGGCATCGAGTCAGATCCAACCCCTCTTTGGGTTTCTGAAGCAGTATCACTACAGAAGTAGATTGCCCAATCTTCTTTCCAAGGAGTGGCTGTTGGCTTTGAACCACCAGTCTTCTGGTTAGCAATCAAATGCCTTAAGCACTATGTCACAAGAGCTCCTTGAATAATGACAATGGTATTGAATACTCATGTAGTACTTCAGAATTCATAAAGTGATTTTGCTTACATCATTTCTGTACTCTTGATAACAGATTCTTCTTCATAGAATTATTATCCTCTTCTTATATTGAAGCTGGGGAGCTCTGGTGGCCTACTGCCTAAGGCACTTAACTGCTAACCAGAAGGCTGGTGGTTCAACCCCACCATCCACTCCTCAGAAGGACGATTGGGCAATCTACTTCCCTAGTGATACTGCCTTGGAAACCCAGGGAGGGGTTGCTATGAGTCAGATCTGACTCGATAGCAATGAGTTTATATTGGAACTGAAGCTGTATCATTTTCTACATCAAACATCTAGTATACAACTTGATTTCATGCTCCCTTGGTGGTTCCATGCCTCTCAGTATGAGTCAAGGTTGTGATAGGTATGTGAGTCTTGCTTTCCAATGTTACGGATTTTTTTACTTTATTTGTTTGTTTATTTGAGTTCTCAGTAGTGTTCCGTCTCCTGTTGACTGGAACTCCCATCCAGAATAGCCTTCAAGAACTCTACTCCCTCCTCAGTTTTGTGGAGCCTGATATTTTTTCCAAGGAAGAGGTGGAAGATTTTGTTCAACGTTACCAGGATATTGAGAAAGAATCCGAATCAGGCAAGTTTCTTCCCTACAAAATACCCAAGAGGCCTATGCCTAGAAGCTTCCCTAGCGCATAATGATTGTAGATAGAAAAGTAAAAAAATCAACGACCAGGGTGATAAAGAGCCACAGAAATAAAAAATGATGTTAGAATCCTAGTGTTTCCAGTTGCCTACTGTACATGACTCTCTTAATGGTTTGTTACATGATTCGACAATAGTACTGGTTCAGTCATTTTTAGAAGAAATACCAGGTGCTGATTTGTACTTTTCTTGTTTTTTTCTCATCTTGTGATTTCTATCAGGACTTTGTTAACTTTCCATGCCATTTCCTGAGGTAGAAAAGTACGTAGGTATTACAGTTCCAAACTGCTTGTTAGGGTTCTGTAACATTGGTGTTTCTTTTAAAACTGCACCGAAACCAAAAGTGTGGGGTGGATGGAATGTGGAAGTGAAGGAGGGACGCCTTCCTCATTTGTACAGCTGACAGTTGTAGTCTTCCTTCTGTCTTATCCTTGTGATATTATCCCAGTATAATTGTTCAAAACCATCTCTAGGATGGTTCAATGGGGAGAGTCTGCTGCAGTCATTTTAAGGGAATCTTTGCCAAGTAGCACTATGAACTGTTTTAAAATTTCACAGAATCTTAATTACAAATCAGAACTTTTTGAGGGGAAAAGAGGTACATGTAGATTTTGAGAGAAGCCCTCCTGGTTACTGTAACAACCATTCCCCACCTGGAGGATCACTGACTTAAACATTTGAGCCTACTACTTTTTTTTAATTTTTATGGTGATTTGGGTAAAAGTTTACAGAGCAAATTCATTTTCCATACAGCAGCTCACATACACTTTGTCTCATGATGTTGACTGCAATTTCCCACAATGCAACAGCTCCCATCCCACTTCCTCCCCATAGTTACCTCTTCCCTGTGTCCTTCCCTCCCATGCACTCCTGCCCCCTGAGCTGTCTCCCTATGCATACACAGCCCTTCTATTCTCCCATGATTGTTCTCTCCAAGCAGTGTATCTACCTAATATAAATGTTCACCTCATATGCCTGTCTTTTGTTTGGCTGGAAGCCATGGGAGTGGGTTCAATTACAGACCTGAAGGGCAGCTAGGGGCCATAGTCTCAGTGGTTCCGTCAGGCTCTATCAGACCAGCAAACTTGGTCCCCCCCCCCCTTTTTTTTTTTTAATGATTTTTGAGTTTTGTTCCACATTATTCTCCCATT